AAAGCAATCTTATAACAGATATATAAAACAATAATGTTAATATCATCATATAATTATTTTCTAATCTTGAAAGAAAGTAAAAGATTCTAGGAGGTATTTATTCCACTGCTAACTAGGTGATAAGCCATATTTGGAAGGATAGAAAGTAAAAACAAGAAAACAAAAATGAGAACAAGAAAGGCAACACCTAAAAAGGCCTCCCTTTTTTTCTCATCAAAGCCTCTGCAGGGGTCATGAAGTCCACATTTTGTGACAGGTTGTCATGACAAATAATGCGTAGATGTCTCTTCCAAATTTTTAACAATAGATTTATTAGAATATGGAAAGTCAGATTTAGAAGAATTGGGACCAAAGCCTGTTTAACTTACTTAGTTTGGTGGTTAATAAAATAGTTTTTCCACAGATGCAGTTTACTCAGTAATCCACATATTTGTCTGTTCTTTCTATAATGAAAGGTCAACATCACCATATAAGGTGAAAGTGGGGAAAGGAGAACTCTCAAACGTTTCTGTTTGTTGCTAACTTGTCCCAGGGTCTTCCTGAAGAAGACACTAATTAAGGTAAAATAAAAATTTTGGTCTATCACCTTAGACTACTTAAAAACAAATGCCACATATTTTTATACCATTATAGCAGCAGTTCAATGTCTTCGTTATTATCCTGAAGTAATGTTTTAAATTTTGTATGACTCATTTAACACGTGCCTTTTGAAAAATAATCTCAATTGTCTTATTTGACTTATGGTAACAACATAAGATTCTTACGTTGATTGCTCTCCGTATCCATACTCCTGCATGCCTTTTCCCCCACCTTTTTAAGGGTCACACAGTAGGTAAGAGATTCAAACTAATCACAGACTACACCTCTTTGGCATCCCAAACAATGTAATAATACCATTTCTTACTTCAGGTGTGAGACATAAGTAAACATTTATGGTATATCATGTTTTATGGTCCAGGCTTCCTCATCTCCACTGGCCAGTTTTGCCAGGGAAGGAGAACTGGGAGAATTGAATGGGAAGGATAACTCCTTTAGTTAAAACACTTACATTGAAAACACATATGTCTTCCATGTTGGTAATATGTATCCGTCATTCTTCTAACTCTGAACATATTAGTGTTAAATAAATGTCACATTTAAATTTTATTTATTCTTTGGGTTGGCAGATTCTTGCCCCATATGTTTTTTTTTTTTTTTAATTTATTTTTCACTATTGCATTAGGAGGAGATATTCTAAATATGCAAAACTGACATATTCTCCTTTGTATATTCAAAAATGAAAATCACATTTTTAATGTGAGAAGAAGTAAAGATTTAACAAAGTGTTAATTTGTCATCCATTTAATTTCTCTCCGAATCTCCTGGTTAAATTTATTCCTAAAATACTAAGCAATCCTCCAAAGCATGTAAGTAGATATCTGCTCTTATCAGGTTATTTAGGGAAGTGGTGTGGATGGGGTGGGTCTGATTTTATGTTCGTTTAAATAGATTTTTAAATTAAAGATGTGAGCTTGGATAAATCTAAGAATTGATATAAGATTAATAATCTCCTTTGACAAGTTCCAAATATCTTTCAATTTCATTATTATTACACACATACACACTACACACTATATATATATATACACATATATAATTTAATTGATTTTTATTTTAAAAAATTATATATGAAAATTTTCAAGCATATATGAAAGTAGAGGATATAGTATAATTGCTTTACGTGTTTCATACCAAACCAAAGCCTTTTTATTTCTGAATTCCATTTCTTTTTAGTAAAACGCAATCCAATTTGTTTAAAGGGAGCTGAGTTTTGAAACAAAGACTTTTGGAAAGCAGACAATTATATTAAAGAATTTCATTTGGCTGGGTGTAGTCGCTCACACCTGTAATCCCAGCATTTTGGGAGGCTGAGGCGGGCGGATCACCTGAGGTCAGGCGTTTGAGGTCAGTCTGGCCAACATGATGAAATCCCGTCTCTACTAAAAATACAAAAATCAGCAGGACTTGAACGTGTGTGCCTGTAATCCCAGCTTCTAGGAGGCTGAGGCAGGAGAATCACTTGAACTTGGGAAGCGGAGGCTGCAGTGAGCCGAGATCAGGCCACTGCACTCCAGCCTGGGTGACAGATCAAGACTCCGTCTCAAAATAAATAAATAAATAAAACAAAATTTGCAAATAGAGTGTTAGTAATTCCCCAACAGGTGGGATTCATTTGTTTTTAAAGTCAATGTGAAGTCACTGGGGAGACTTTGCAAACTGGTACAATATGTTTCACAGTGAAAAGCTAAGGTACATTTATATATCTGGAATCTGAAATGTTAAAATATTTAAAATATTTGACATAAATTTTTAATTTTTTGAAAAAGTTTAAAAGTTATATTCTGACAAAAACAACCATTTCAACATTATGTAGATTTTTAAAATTTAAATTACTAATGAGATTATTTTAGAACATAGAAATGGAAAATGAAAAGTAGTGACATAATATTGTAATGTTTAATTATTTAAAAAGTTTTAAGTCATTAATAACCACTAATCACTCAGATCCCCAATTAAAAAAAATAAATCCATTAAATATCCAGTGTGATAGAACATAATGCTCATTAAAACACATGCTAATTTAATTATATCTGATGTAATATGTCTGATATAATAAATATCTTAAATATATATAAATATATATATCACACATTGATAACATGGACTATTTTCACCCAAAATAGTTATCCTAGGGAAAGTTTGGCAAACTAGGAAATTGAAAATTATTTAAGTACTCTGACAGTTTAGAGACAAATGAAGTAAGCTTGTATAGAAAGTAATTCATAAAAGTCAGAATCATCTATACAAAGAAAAACATCTAATAATAATGGAAAAGTATGTCCATTTGTGATGAAGCAGTTTGGGATTTTTTTTTTTTTTTTTTTTTTTTTTTTGAGACAGAGTTTCACTCTCGTTGCCCAGACTGGCCAGGCTGGCATGCAGTTGTGAGTTGTGTGATCTCATCTCACTGCAACCTCCCACTCCTGGGTTCAAGCATTTCTCCTGCCTTGGCCTCTCAAGTAGCTGGGACTACAGGTGTGCGCCACCAAGCCCAGCTAATTTTTGTACTTTTTTAGTAGAGACAGAGTTTCACCATGTTGGCCAGGATGGTATGGATCTCTTGATCTTGTAATCCGCCTGCCTTGGCCTCCCAAAGTAGTGGGATTACAGGCATGAGCCACCACACCTGGCCACGGGAAATTTTTTTTGATGCTGTGTTAGTTCATTCTCAAATGGCTATATAGCTGCAAATGGGTAATTTATAAAGAAGAGTTTAATTGCCTCACAGTTCTGCTTCTCCTTTAAATATCAGTCTGACTTTAGGTCATTTCTTTGCTTGTGTACCCCAGTATAGATTGTTAGAAGCAGCTAGGTCACTTTTTTGGGGGTGGGGTGGTGGTGGATGGGACGCAGTTTTGCTCTGTCACCCAGGCTGGAGTGCAGTGGCACAATCTCAGCTCACTTGAACACCTCCTGTGTTCAAGCAGTTCTCTGTCTCAGCCTCCCAAGTAGTTGGGATTACAGGCTCCTACCACCATGTCTAGCTAATTGTTTTTTTGTATTTTTAGTACAGACAGGGTTTCACCATCCCGGCCAGGCTGATCTTGAACTCCTGACCTTTTGATCCACCCACTACTTCTTGAATACTTTGCTGCTAGAAATTTCTTCCACCAGATACCCTAAATCACCACATTCAAGTTCAAGTTCCACAGATCCACAGGGCAGGGGCACAATGTAGTGTAATTGTTTGCTAAGGCATAACAAAAAATGACCTTTTCTCTAGCCCCCAATAAGTTCCTCATTTCCATCTGAGACCTCCTCAGCTTGTATTTCGTTGTCCATATCACTATCAACATTTTGGTCACTACCATTTAAAACCAGTCTCTACAAAGTTCCAAACATATCCTCATCTTCCTGTCTTCTGAGCTCACCCTGTCTCTTTTGCTCCTGCTTCCACCATGTGAGACACCTGGCTCCCTCTTGCCTTCTACTATGATTGGAAGCTTCCTTATATCTCTCCAGAAGCAGAAGCTGCTATGCTACCTGTACAACCTGCAGAACCATGAGCCAATTAAACATTTTTTCTTTATAAATTTTCCAGTCTCAGGTGTTTCTTTAGAGCAATGCAAGAACAAAGGAATACAAATGCATTCTACATTCATTTTTTTTTTTTGAACTAAAGGAAGTGATAGAGAAATAGAACATCTGATTCTTGGATAAAAATTGACAATGGGTAAGAGTTTTAATTCTTATTACAGGAGTAGGCAAAATTAGGAAATATGCTTTGAGACTAACATGCCAATGTTCTTTTCGCCTAAGCTTTCTGTCCTCTGTTTCATTAGCGAGATATGAGAATGCCTGCTTCTGCATGAAGAAGGAGCAATCCTATGTATCGGGGCTGTAATGCTGAAGAGGGTCAAGTGGCTCCCTGTCAGTCCGGATAAAGGATATATTATTAAAGAGAAAAACTTGTAACTACCCTGAACTTAAGACAGATTTATTCAGTCAGCTGGGAATTCCAGAGACTCAGGCAGATACCTAAGAGCATGTTTAATTGCTCTAAGTCCCTGATTCCTTATTTCCTAATTTTATATGTATATAATGGTTATCAGTTTTGCAGAACAGTTTTATGGTAACTGACATTCTTGGTTAAGGCTTACTTTCTACTTCTTTTCCTTTTTGGTGTGATTAGTTAGAAAATGATCTCAATACATATTCCTATATACATATGGATGTTTAGGCAAAAATAAAATTGGATTCTGTGTTCTGGAAGTTATCAAAAAATCTACCGTACTCTGGTAGTTAAGTTGACTGTAAACATCAGGTTATTAATATTTTATCATATTAAAACACTAAAATTATCATTGCTATATATGTTTCTTGAGCATCAGCATTTAAATACAAATACATACTTTTATTTCTACTTTTGTCTTAGTTATTACGTTTCTCCTCTCTTTCAGATTATGCTTAGAGGATTCTGCAGCAATTCTTGATATTGGACATATTCAAAATCTCCTCAACTTATGTCCTCCCCGTCTATTGCCTTCCAGCTTTAACTCAGTTGTGCTCCCTTCAGACATTTTACATGATTTGCAATGGTTACATGAACTCTGGGGAAGTCATATTTGCAACATCTCATACTTTATTCACTATGGCACTTTAGGAAAAGAAATTGGGGAAAAGCTTCCAAAACATTATCTTAAAAAATGAATCTTATTGTGAAACTTCGGAGAAGTTTTCGAACATTGATTGTTCTCTTAGCTACCTTTTGCTTGGTGAGCATTGTCATTTCTGCCTATTTTCTCTACTCTGGCTACAAACAGGAAATGACACTTATCGAAACCACTGCAGAAGCAGAATGCGCTGACATCAAAATTCTACCATATCGGTCAATGGAGCTGAAAACAGTGAAACCTATTGATACATCCAAAACTGACCCTACTGTCCTTCTCTTTGTGGAGAGCCAATACTCTCAACTTGGTCAAGATATCATAGCTATTTTGGAGTCCAGCCGATTTCAGTACCACATGGTCATTGCCCCTGGAAAGGGAGATATACCTCCTCTTACAGATAATGGCAAAGGGAAATATACTTTAGTTATTTATGAAAATATTCTGAAGTACGTCAGCATGGACTCATGGAATCGAGAGCTTTTAGAAAAATACTGTGTGGAATACAGTGTTAGTATAATCGGTTTTCATAAAGCCAATGAGAACAGCTTACCAAGTACACAATTAAAAGGCTTTCCGTTAAACCTTTTCAATAATCTAGCTCTAAAGGACTGTTTTGTTAACCCTCAATCTCCTTTGCTACATATTACCAAAGCCCCCAAGGTTGAGAAAGGCCCTCTTCCTGGGGAAGACTGGACTATTTTCCAATATAATCATTCAACCTACCAGCCTGTACTTTTAACTGAATTACAGACAGAAAAATCCCTTTCATCCTTGTCTAGCAAAAAACTCTTTGCAACGGTGATTCAGGATCTGGGGCTTCATGATGGAATTCAGCGAGTACTTTTTGGCAACAACTTGAACTTTTGGCTGCACAAGCTCATCTTCATAGATGCCATCTCCTTCTTGTCAGGGAAGAGGCTGACATTGTCCTTGGACAGGTACATCCTTGTGGACATTGATGATATATTTGTTGGGAAAGAGGGAACAAGGATGAATGTCAAAGATGTGAAGGTAAGCATATGTATAAATAACATCGAAATTTGTATTTCACAATGTGGTACTGGTAAAATATTCCAAATATGATAGATTACTAATCACTAAAGTTTTAAGATGCAGTAGAGTTGAAATAAAATAGCCATTTAGAAAAATCTTGAACCAAGACTTAACCATTCTTTACACACACATACAACACACACCAGAAGCTTCAGAATGGGACAGAGCTAAAATACCCCAAAGAGTTAGTGAACTTAATCACCTTGCCTCATTTTTCTTTCTTTCTTCTTTTCTTCTTCTTTTTCTTTCTTTCTTTTTTTTTTTTTTTTTAGAACAGAGTCTTGCTCTGTCATCTAGGCTGGAGTACAGTGATGTGATCTTGGCTCACTGCAACCTCCGCCTCCTGGGTTCAAGCAATTCTCTGCCTCAGCCTCCTGGGTAGCTGGGATTACAGGTGCCTGCCACAGGTCTGGCTAATTTTTGCATTTTAAGTAGAGATGGGGTTTCACCATCTTGGCTATGCTGGTCTTAAACTCCTGACCTCATGATCCACCTGCCTCAACCTCCCAAAGTGCTGGAATTACAGGCATGAGCCAGTGTCTGGCCTCCTTGCCTCTTCTTAAGTCTTTCCCATCCCACCTAGAACCACTTATAACAGCCTCCCTTATTATAGCACATGTTGCAGTTTGTAACAGTGAGACTAAGATAGCCATATAACTCTATTTATGGATTATTTACCCTGCCAAATCCTGCCAAACTTGGGTTTGAAAATTGTGGTGTAAATAGAATAATGGAGAAACAGCACAAGACCTTTCTACAATCTCAACCAAGCATAATATTTGCTCATATGAAATGTTCAGATATCTGAAAATACAGATATTAGCAAAAACAAATCATTTTATAAGGAATGTGGCATTGAGTTGGCCTCAGGTAGCTTTCATTATTATACCTATATTATTTATTTATTGCATTATTTGGGAAAACACAGCAATGTTACTGATAGCACTTCTAGTTTTTGATCAATTGAGACTGAATAACAGATTCAGCCTGGGATTGCTACTAAATAAAAATAAACCCACTATGCTACACAAGATTAGGTGCACAATTCTGAAGATAATCATCTTTTAAACAATCTTGATGCAGTACTCTCACCTGATCTTTTACTTGTGACTATCTCATCCTACGTACAACTAAATTTATTTTGTGTGTAAATAATTTTAGCAAACACATAAACAAAAATTAGAGGACACAATTGAGAATAATAAAGGAATCAAAGAGTGTTAAGGTGTTATTGACTTTTTTGGATCTTCTGTTAAAGTGTTTATCTTCCAAAGATAAAATTTGGATACCTCTTCAAAATAACAGGGCATTTTTTTCATCATAAGACCTGATGGCCACTGAAAAGCAAAATGATTGAAAGCAGTAGAATAAGTTTACTTTTTAAAAACCTTCAAAGTTTATGTGAACCAATGAACTCTGTTTTTCATAAGTTCCTATGAAGCACTGCTTGACTGTGACCCAAATATTTTATTTCAAGACTGTTAAGAAAAGATAAAGTGACAACAATTGAGTTCCATCCAGATTTTTCTCATTTTTTCTTTTACATTTTTAGTATTTATTATTCTCTTTAATTAGTATAAATGATAGTGTTCTTTTAATTTTGAAACCATAGGCTTAACAAGAGGCCAGTTACTTCAAAAGGTTCTCTGAGTGGTTGGTTCCTTTCTTCACACCCTGAAAATATAGCATTTCCAAGTTTCAGGCTAAAGAACAATATGAATTAAAAAGTTCTTTACAAGTCTAAATGAATTTAATCAGCTCAAATTCAGCTATTTCACTTTTTTCTTAAATAGAAAAACAAATTGTTACTCACTGCTGCTCAAAATAATATTCAAAAGTCGCTGATGGCTCTCTCAACTGACATAACCCCAAACAGAATAAAATAATATTGAAATTTAACAAAGGCTTGAGCAGTGTCACATATGGAGAGAGAATCAGAAAGGCTATGTGTGTGTGTATATATTTATTAGTGTGTGTTCTTATGGATAGAATTATATCCTGTATATGAAGTAATGTATAATATTTATGTATGTACACATATTAACTGAACTGTGTTTTTGAAGAAAATACTCTTTACTGCCTTTTTTGTTGTTATTTCTGGTTGTCCCTCAGAATTATTTTTATTTTTACTTTTTTATTGACAAAAACAATATATATTTTTCATGTACAACATGATGTTTTGAAATATGTGTAAATCATGAAATGTTTAGATACAGCAAAATGACATAGGAATTAATTATCCCAGATACTTATCATTTTTTGGTGAAAACACTTAAAATCCACTCTTTTAGTAATTTTCAAGAATATGATACATTGTTACTACTAGAATCTACTATAGGTTTCTTCAACTTATTCTTCCAATCAACATGAAATTTTATGTATTTTAACCAAAATCTCTCCAACCTCCTCACTCTCAACCTCTGGGAACTACCATTTTACTCTCTGCTTCTTTGAGTTTAATTTTTTTAGACTCCACAAAAAGGTGAGATTATGTATTTATTTTGCTCTGCCTTGCTTATTTCAATTAACATAATGTCCTCTAGGTCATCCATGTTGTCACAAATTACAGGATTTTCTTCTTTTTGAAGTCTGAATAATATTTCATTGTGTATATGTATCTCATTTTCTTTACTCATGTATCCACTGATAGACACTCAGGCTGATTCTATATCTTAAATATTGTAAATAATGCTTAAATGAGCAAGGAAGTACAGATATCTCCTTGATAAGTTGAATTCATTTCCTTTGGATATATACTCAATAGTAGGATTGCTAGATCATATGGTAGTTCCATTTTTAATTTTTTGAGGAATCTGCATGTTGTTTTCCATAGTGGCTATACTAATTATATTTCCACCCGTGTATATGAGGGTTCCCCCTTCTCCACATCCCTGCCAACACTTGTTACCATTTGTCCTTTTGATAACAGCCATTCTAACAGGTATGATGTGATATCTCATTATGGTTTTGACATGCATTTCCCTGATGATTAGCGATGTTGAGTATTTTTATAAGCCTATTGGTCATTTATGTTTTCTTTTGATAAATGTTTATTCAGGCCTTTTGCTCATTTTTTAGGTGAGTTATTTGTTTTCTTACTATTGAGTTACTTGAATTTGATATGTTCTTTAGCTATTACCTCTTATCAGATGTATAGTTTGCAATTTTTTCTCCCATTTCCTGTGTTGTCTCTTCACTCTGTTGCCTCCATTGCTGTATAGAAGCTTTTTTGTTTGATGTAATTCCATTTGTTTATTTTTACTTTTGTTACTTGTGCTTTTGGGGTCATATCTAAAAAAACTTGCCCAGAACAACGTCATAGAGGTTTCCTCTATGGTTTCTTTTAGTCATTTTATGGGTTTAGGTCCTACAATTAAGTCTTTCATCTATTTTAAGTTGATTTTTTAATATAGTGTGAGATGAAGCTCTAATTTCATTCTTCTGCATATAGATACCCGGTTTTCCTAACACCATTTATTGAAGAGACTGCCCTTTCCCTATTATCTGTTCTTAGAAACTTTGCTGAAAATCTATTGACTGTAAATGCAAGAATTTATTTCTGTGCTCACCATTTTATTCCATTGGACTGTGTGCCTGTTTTTATGCTAGTATCATGCTGTTGTGATTACTATAGCTTTGTAGTATATTTTGAAGTATATTTGTTTTCCTCGAGATTGCTTTGGTTATTTGGATCTTTTGTAGTTTCATATACATTTTAATATCTTTTAAATTTTTTTTTTCTATTTTTGTGAAAAATGTCCTTGGGATTTTGATAGGAATTGTTTTGAATCTGTAGATCATTTTGGATATCATAGACATTCAACAATAATAATTTTTCTACCTTACTAGTGGGGATAAGCTTTCCATTTATTGGTGCCTTCTTCAAGTCCTTCAAGCATATTTTGTATGCTTTTCTCTTGCTGCTTTCAAGATCCTTTGTCTTTGATTGTTTACTGTTTGACTATACCATGTCTTGGTGTAGTGTTGTTTGGCTTTCCTCTGCCTGAATATTTGTGTTTTTCCTTGGGTTTGAGCAGTTTTCTTCTATTATTTTATTAAATAAGCTTTCTGGATTTTATCTGTGTTTTTCTTAAACTTCTGTAATTTGAATATTTCCCTCAGACCTATTAATGAATAAATATGAGAAATTTGATTGGAATTGAGAATTGAAAACTATTTACGTACTAGGTTACTTATATGTCCAAAGAAAAAATGTTCTAGTCACAGTTTTTGCTTTTTGACTTTATTTTTTGGATAAATACAATTTTGTGGGAAATAATTTCAATTATGTGTCAAAAAGTTTTGATAGTCTCATATTCTTCACTCTCATGGTTTTTTTTTTTTTTTCTTTTTCTGGTAGTACAACAGTCATACTAGTGCACAAAGATAATTTTATTCTCCTTCAAACTCTACCCCAATTCTAGAACAATGGTGCTGCATAGTTACTGACAATTTTCTATATTACTCCAAAATAATATAAAAGAGGCATTCAGTTGGTATTTTAATAGGTATTTCATACATATTTCAATTTGTATGAAATACCTATTTGAATTTGAAATTCAAATGTCATCCCTATTTCAAGGTATGAAAGAGGTATTCTGTTCCTCAATAAAACAAATTAAGGAAAGCAGGAGTGTTACGGATAAAAAATCTTGGTTATGTTTGTAATTGGACTCTTCTTCAGCCACTCCCACAATTAGACTGGAATAGCAAGAGCATTAACAAATTCAGACATAGCCTTATCCTCAGCACCACCTCACTCTATCAATGTGTGTGTGTGTGTGTGTGTCTCTGGGTGAGTGTGTGTGTGTATGTGTTTGTGAAGGCATATTTTCATCTGAGCCCAATTTTCTCTTTTGAGATAGAGATTCTGAATTATACTGTTAAAGAGTAAGTACTTTTAAGGCAAAGAATTTTAATGCATTGAAAAGAATACTAGTTTTTATTTTAGTTTTTAT